CACGAGCGCCCACGAATGCCCACACACGACAATGAATGCCCATGAGTGCAACGTGCAAATGACAATGCACAGACGACAATGCGAAGACAAATGCAACAGCAACCCAGCCCTACAGATGCCAAAACGAGCCCACTGCCCACAAATGATGACCCAGAGCACCCACGGACAAAGGATTCTGCTTGCATGAACATAAATGGGCAACAACAAGCCCAGATGAGCTCCCTCCCTCCATCATTCCACACCACCACCCCTCCATCATTCCCCCTCCATCATTCCCCCTCCATCATCCCACACCACCACCCCTCCCTCTATTTCTCCCCCTCCCTCTGTTGCTCCCCTCCCTCTGGTTGCTCCCACTCCCATTTCTCCCCCCCCCTTCATCACTCCCCCTCCCATCACTCCCCCTCTCATTGCTCCCCCTCCATCCCACCCCTCCCTTCATCACTCCCTCTCCCCTCCATCACTCTCTCTCCCCTCCATCACTCCCTACCCCTCTCTCCCTCCCACTCTCTACTACACCCTCCCCCCTCCATCATTTCCACCATTGCATCTACAGACCGCCCAGCTATCCTTTGTGTCATTGAACAGCTACGCGGCCACTTCAAACTTCGTCACCTAGGTCCTACTACCAGTTTGCTTGGTGTTCGCGTCAACCGTGACCGTCCACATCACATGCTGTGGATCGACCAGTGTGCATATGCTGTGGACATACTCACCCACTTCAATATGATTGACTGCAAGCCCGTTACAACCCCCCTTGACCCCAACACCAGACTCTCTTGATCCCAATCGCCTCAGACACCTGAGGAAGCCACAGAAATGAAGAAGTACCCATATATTCAAGCCACAGGTGCCCTACTCTATCTCGCACTGTGTACCCACCCTGATATCGCATTTTCGGTGGGAGTTCTCTGCAGATTCAATGCCAACCCAGGGCTTGATCACTGGAAAGCAGTCAAGCACCTTCTTTGCTATGTGCACAGCACTTTGGATTACCGAATTAAATATTCCGCTGCAGCCGCTTTACCAACATCCCAGCTTTTCCGCACCTACTCCGATGCTGATCATGGTGGAAATATCGATACAGGAAAGTCCACTACAGGTACACTGCTCATCATAGCAGGGGGCGCCGTCGCATGGACCAGCAAACAGCAGAGTGTAGTATCTACCTCCACCACCGAATCAGAGTTCATTGCCGCCAGCGAGACAGGTCGAGAACTCTGCTGGATGCACACCCTACTCAACGAAATCGGCAACACACAACATGGCCCATCCGAGCTGAATATGGATAATCAAAGTGCTATTCAGGTCAGCAAGCACCCCGAAAACCTGGGGCATCTCAAACACCTTGACTGACATTGGTTCTGGCTATGCCAGGCTGTCTTCAACCTCAAAGTCAAACCCCAATACATCAAGACAAAGGACATGGTCGCAGACCTGCTCACAAAGTCACGCACGTGGGACCTTATGGACAAGTTCAGAAAGATGATGGGATTAGTGGGGAACTGGTCTAAGGAAGACCTCCAGTGATGTTCTCGTGCACTCCATCAGGTGGGAGTGTTGAATATTCCGTGTGTGCACTTGAGACCACTTAGGGTTAGGGCTTATCCCACCCTTTCAATTCCTGGCCCCTGTAGTTTAGTCTTTAGTTTACAACTACTCACTCAACTACGGACACAGTCCAAGTTGAAACTCAGGTTGCCTTTAGCCTCCAATCCGAGACCTTTGGTTTCATGTCACCACTGCCGCTGTAACCCGTTCAACAGAAGTCCACCAGAACCATAGTGTCGAGCTTATTGGCGGTGCAGCTATGTCCCTTGGGAAGTCCTATGTCGCAGGAGAAGCATGTTAGCGGCTTGTCAAAGCACCATTGACCATGACCTTCAACCTCCCATACTTCCCTCTCAGCCAATATCCCAACAATCTGCCCTTGATCTGCCCCTTCACGAAATGCCTGCTTTACATCCATGTCCTTGAAAAAGGCTGCTCCCCTCTTAAATCCTTCCTGTGACCCTTGCTCAAATGCATGCTTCCAAACAAGACCCAATGGTGAGTCTGGCGACGATGTGGCGAGGGTGATGAGCTTTGCAATCACGAGAAACATAGCCCAATATCCCAAATCGGGATAGCCAGAGCAAGTGCAACACTTTTTCCGGGCTGGAATATTGCGAGGACAGGCTAATAATTACGCAGGGTGATACTCATTCTTATATCTGATTCTTTCCCTTTCCACAAAGAAGAAAGCCATTCCATTGTTTGAATATTCCTGCTAGTAAAATCCAAAGAATAGTTGAACAGATCCTGCACACCTTGCCTTTTATGTGGCATCGTCTGAACAAAGAGCCCTTTCTCAGAAATTTCATCCTTTCCCGCCCCCTTTATCAGCATGTATCAATTTTGCATCACATCTGAAAACAAAGGATCCCTTTGCTTTGGCTTTCCTCTTAATCTTACCCATCGGTCTAACTTTTACTACAATTTCACTAACATGAAAATGGTTTGAATATTTCAGCTTTTGTTCACCCTTTACAGGTGTGGTAAAGGCAAAGCAAAGTTCTTGGCCCGGATTTTCCTGACATGAAATACTTTAAATATAATCAGAATGTTCCTGAAAAGAAAAAGTGTCGCACTTTCTCAGGATATTCTAACTGGTAATATTGGTGAGAAGACTGTGGCACGCGGGAGTGAGAATAGTGTAATCGGACGCGCTGACAAGATGTGTGAACACCTAAACAACACTCACACACACAAACACCTTAAACACTTATCACCACAGGTATGTGCTTGGTACTTCGAGTTCGGGTTCGTACAGTAAACAGAATTACCACACTTGTTTTGTTAGAACTTAAGTAGAAGTTCGGGGAAACATTTTTGTATATTTTATATCACTTGTCTAAGTCTAGTAGACCTTTTTGGAACAAAAAGGTATTGTTTTATGTGCGGACACAGTATAGAATTCGAAACTTAGTAGTCTTCGAAGGGAAATGGCTTTTATTTGGGACTGTCTCGGCGTTCTGGGATTGCGTTCTAACTGTATATGAAGAAATGACAAGGAAATTGTGCTTTGTAGACTTTTATAACTCCCTTGAGCTTTTATTATGCCTCTGATGCGGTCCAAACTAGTCTTAAAGACTCTTCAAGCACGCTCACTTGGATTCCTCGGTAATAGTAGAGAGCTCTCTTACTAATTGACGAGACAACCTTACAAAAGCTTTGTGATCCCCACTTAACACGCTGGTTCCGGGCACACGTTACTTATGTCTGCGAAGAAAAGTCCTTAAATTGATTACAAACTTATCCACTACCTCAGATGCTACTGGGAGTGCGACAGCTGGTCAACGCGGGGATAATTCCTTACGTTTCAGCCTGCGCGCGTCCTCTTTTTATACTATTCTATGTCTTCTATTTATATTTACATGTCCGTGCGTTGTCCGAGAGGTCGGACGAATTAATACTGATTTTTAGTAAAGGTTTGAAGTGGCTCAATTGTGTGTGGCACAACTGAGCTGACTTCTTTTAAGTTTTCATAGTGTTTTCTCTATTGTGGCGACGCGACGCATCAGTATTGATGCGTATGTGGGAATCCCCGTAAACAGTTTTCACGATCGGTTCAGCCGAGACGAACGGTCCGCTTAGTGATTTTTCTCTCTATTATTAGATACTATGCCCGGGCCTCGGACCGCACGGCAAATTGTTCATAGTTTTTCTCTTTTGGCAGGCTTCGGAATATTTCACGAAGCTTAGTTTTCTTGGGTCAATGATGCCATGATTTGTGATGCGTTGATGCGCGTGATGCGTCTCTCCACATGACTTCTTGGATCATGCTTCGTAGCACGTGACCGAATGACTTCTCGCGTCAGGTACGCGTCGAGTTTCTACGCTCACGCATTTATCTTTAGAATTAATATCTTTTAATCCATAATAAAGTGAGACCCTGGTTTGGTGTAAACTCCAACACCCTGTGCGGGGGTGTTTTTTACTCTAGAACACTCAGTAGTGTACTATTTCATGGTAGTGTAGCCTTTTATTAGACTTCGAGTATATTGAGGTGATTCGGTCACGAACCGACCGCAATTCCTACTGTCTAAGGCGTGCACATTTCTCGGATGTAGACTTTAATCGACTAGACCGGGTTGCGTCTAACGATCCTTATGATCAATGTGACTGTATTTCTACTATAGGAGGTTTTATAGGAGAAATCGCTAAAATTCGCATTTTTACGGGTGTATTGTTACACTCCGTATCATTGGGCAATGTTTCTCGTGAATGCTCTCTTCTGTAGTGATGATGCAGCTGCTGAAGTTCTTGATGCGGATGCTGGCGCTAGTGATTGGCAGGGGTAACCCTGGGGTGTCTTCATCATGACCTATACCCTTACCCTTACCCAACCCCAACCCTTGGTGAGGGTTGGGGTTTTGGAAGGGTAAGGGTTGGGGTAGATAGGGGGTTTGAGGGGTAAGAAACCCTCTGGGGGTCAGCATCAAGGGTTGTTGGCTTTTTGTTTGTAGATTAAAATTCTTGCAAAAGAAATGTTTTCACAAGTTCACAATGAAGACAACTACCATTATTTGATGAACAGGAGGATATACAGTCATTTACAGGTCCTTGATACACACAAATAAAGACAGGCCTCAGACAAATGTATTAAGATAGTAAAGTACAATCTAACTATGCAGGATCATTACTTAGTACATACATACATGTAATTGAGACCGAAATTGACTATCTACGGAGAGCAGAGGGAGGATGAAGTTAATCTGTTCAAAAGTTGCTTATCGCGGAGAATTATGTCCTCAATACGGCCGTCACATCAGGCGTGACACCCAAAACGGCTATGTCTGATTAGATCACGATGAGATCATTCCTCGTCCTCCTCACCGCTCTGAGTGTCGTCGTCGCTCTCCCTGCCAGGTTCAACGGGTTTGACATCTTCAGCATCATCTGCAGCAGCAGCTTGTTGAAATGCACCCTTCTTTGTCCGAGTCTTGGGCTTTTGTGGCTCAGCTTTCGGCTTGCTCGGTTTCTTCCACCTGGGTCTCTCGCGCACTTCTTTTGCCCTGTCCTGCTCGAATGATCTCATCTGCATCTTCCTTGAGGCACCTATTGCTGAAGGGAAAGTTCCATGCAGCCATCTCGAGAGCGTAGTCGATGAGAACAGTTGCTTCAGTTTCTGTAAGCCAGCTCTTCTCGGCATTGAAGTCAGACAACTTTGTTCCCCCATGAGTATGCTTCCAGAGAGTACTGTGTGATAAGGTAACATGTTGCCCAGTCTTTTGCAGATGCACGGCACTGATTCGGTCGCAAATTGTACGAAGACCAAGAGGCTTGCCATTTTTGCCTGTAGGAGTTTGTTGTTCCTGTTTCTCCATTTCGGTTGCCTCGTCCTGGAGCAGAGATTTAACTTTGGCTGCAGCCGCAGCTTTGTAGAGTTTGGAACGTGCATGTTTCATTGTGCAGGGATCAAGCTACAGCTGCTGAAGAAATCCAGTTGCGTCGAGGATGACACTTTGCTGGCAATTCCCCCATTTGGAAGGTGTGACGTGACTGATGGAATTCTGCTTACACCTCCTCAAATCCTCACATCTCCACTCCGAAGCCTCCATCTGTGCTTTTGATATCAGTGGCAGGTAGGCTTGAGTGTATAAAGAAGGGTTCTTGCTTGAAAAAATAGATGGTAGTCCGGATTGTTTTGAATGACATGTTCAATATTTCACAAATGTCCAAATCTCGACAGATTATACTTCCAACATTGCTTCACACAAGCACCCACCTCGAAAAGTGAGGGCTACACAGACATAAAGTATATATACTAGTAGGAAAGAAAATTAGGACAATTGGAACACTGGATGTGAAAATATCTGGGTTTGTATCGAGGACCTATCCTGTATCGAGGACCTGTAAATGACTGTAGAGTGTTATTATATATATAATTTCATGTTTATGGTACCAGAACACTGGTGATAATCTTTTAAACTAATTCTTTACTATCTTTTTACCCAAAATTTGCCCAAAATATTTTATGCAATATTTTATGAGGCAGAATTTGAGTTAAAATTTACCTGTTGACTACCCTTGACTTACCCTCACAAAAACCCCAACCCTTCACAAGGGTTGGGGTTGGTGTGAGGGTCAGAAAATCCTGACCTCTACCCTTACCCTTCTGACCCCTACCCCTGACCCTTGGAGGGTTGACAAACCCTTCCACATCACTAGCTGGCGCTGGCAGTGATACCGTGGGCAGTGCCTGACTGACAGGCTTCTTCTTTGAAGTGGTCTTCTTTTCTGGCATGGTGACATATGACGAATGGCAGTGATGTCACAAGGCACGGCATAGACAGTATAGACATGGAGACAAAGACGGCAAGATGGTAGGACGTAGGACAGATGATACAGGATGCAACAAAGTTGGTGATGTGGCAGCTGCAGCAACTCCAAGAATGAGACCAGGGCTGAGAAAGAAAGCAGAGAGCGAGAGGTGAGTGTGTTAAAGCACGAAAAACATTCTCATCACCAGGTGGAACAGGCAGAGGTGCTTCCCCAGCATATAGCTAGCTGGGTAGATGGTGGTATTGCGGTGAGTATGTACTACATGTGATGTGTGTATCTACGTGCACGTGACCACGCTCTGGAGCAGGGAATCCCTATTCCAATGGTTACCGAGGTTCAAAGGAAGCATCATTTACTGACTCAAGTTTTGTGGGATCCTGGCAGCTACCTTGCCAATAGTTGCGATAGACCTGCAAGTACTTAGATTATATTCTGCGAACTAAATCAATACCAAAAGATGTGCATGTGACAATGCTGGCTGAGGCGGACAGGCGGATCGGCGGCAGTTCAGACTCTCGAAATATGGAATGTCCTCCATTTTCAAACTCATAAAGTTCTGCAAATCACACACTCAGTGGCACGTGCCATGTCAAAATGACGCTTGAGCCAAGCCAACTTTGGACACACATTGGACACACAACATACCATCAACATCATATACTTGGGTGGTCAGGACTCATGGCCAGCGCTCAGCTCTCTCCTTCACTATGTCTTTCTCCACCACCTCTGTGGAGATTGTTACTGAGATCATTTATAATATCAAAGATAGCTGCACCGCACTCAGCTCATGTTCGTAGACTTGTAAAACCCTGCTTCCCATCTGCTGCCAGTACATATTCCGCACCATCTGCCTTGACTCTCAATCAGATAAAATGTTATCTTTTGGAGGCATCTTGTGTTGTCGTCCAGAGATCGCCGATTATGTTTGGTCACTCATGTTTATGCTTCATGCTTCAGAGCTAGGCGAAGATATCCCCTGTGTCTTGAACAAGCTGAATAAAGTGTGTGATTTCACACTCATAGGGCCTCGAGCCCATGGTGATTGGGAAGATTTTGACAAATCTCTGAAGCAGAGCATTCTCCGTATCATTCATTCTCCTTCTCTCAAACACCTAATTCTGGGAATCTCTGTCAACAAGTTCCCCTTCTCTACATTTACTCACTGCACCAACCTTACGTTGATCTTTCTATTGTGTCCCATCACTCCACTTATTGAACACCAAGACATCGCGACAGGACGTAGGGGACCTCAGCTGATTGGTTTCAGTTTTTATGGACATACTGGAGATACAGTGTTAGACCTCTTTCATTCCAGAGTTCCAGAAGGAGAACTGGCCATTCCAATCATTGACTTCAGCTGTCTTCGAATTTTGGGTTGCACAGTTACTGACAGCTCTGATGTGGCGGCAGTGATGGAGATCTTGGGACACTCCAAAAAATTAGAGGTGTTTACTGCCACTAGTACATGTCTGCTGTGCATTCTATCAGGACAAAATTCATGTTCACATTCATAACAGTTGCCGATGCATCACCTGGCTTACATGGCTTATCTCGTTTGCTAAACCCCCTTTCTCAAATCAGCTTGAAAAAGCTGAGTATTAGCTTCATCCTGAAGATCGAAAGCCGGGATCCTTTCCAAGGACATTGCAAGGAGCTCAAATCCTTGGCAGGTATAGTCGCCTTGGAAGATTTCACAATGGATTGTGTCATCATTGACTCCAACCCATCACACAAACTTGGAAGTTCAAAAGGATGGAGTTGCCTTAGCAAGGTGCTCCATAATGGATTTCCCCAGTTGAAGCGATTTTCAATGGATATCAAAGTGGTTATCATGGCTGTGCCTATTCCAAGATGTGTTGACAAACTCATCACTGCATTGGAAACTCTGCCTGATCGACAATTACAGTGGCTGTTGCGCCATTCCAACATAAAATTTCACTTTTCTGTAATATTGAAAAGGGTGGATTCCACAGGACAAAAGGAGGAATTTTTATCTTCCTTTGAGGTGGACCTCAGCTGAATTCCCATAGTACTACTACCGTTGTTTTTTGTTGAAATCTTTCATTGCAAATGAGCCAAGTTATATGTGCCTTCAAGTTGTATCATTCAGACATTTAAGCAGCCAATAATGGAGTTAAGAATTATAAAAACTGAACGTCATGCAGCATTTGGGTTGTTGATTTCCTTGGAAACACACAGCTTCCACTCAGTACCCAATCAGCAGATATTACTTTCAAGTGCTGTCACAGAGCTGCTCAATTACAGAAAACAAGAGAGCATTCACAAACCTAGAATTGAAAAGTTAGTGTATCAGAGCAGGTGGAGATATATATATTGCAAGATGGGTTTCTACCCCCTGTAGTCTTTGATCCAACCCCCCTTTTATGAGTACTGATCCAACCCCCAAAATAAAACTACTGATTCAACCTTAATGAGATTACAAACCCAACCCAGGTTTGTATTGTACTGATTTAACCCCCTATTAACAAGTTCTTGAAGTACTGACACAGCCCTGCTTTTTGAAGTTTTAAACTACTAATCCAACCCCTCTTTTCAAGCTTTTAAACTACTGATGTAACCCTGGTTTATGATGTTCTAATACAACCCTTCTTTTGAATGTTTAACTACTGATTTAACCCTGGGTTTTATAGTTTTCAAACTCCTGATTCAACCCTGTTTTGTTTAATTAAGTACTGATTCAGCCTGTAGTATCTCCCATGAAAGTACTGATTCAGCCCCTAAAATGTTCTATGGAAGTACTGATCCTACCCTGTTTTCTGCCTCACAGAAGTACTGATCCAACCTGGGTTTTTGCCTCACAAAAGTACTGATCCAACCCTGGTTTTTCCAATTTCCTAATTTGGATGCCTGCCATCAGCTGCATGCACCTGCCACAACTATTGTAATCTTGACTCTGTACCACCATCTCCTCTCCATACTATGGCTAAAGGTCACAAGAAACGTGAGGTAAGTCTGTTAGATTGATTCATTTCCTATCTAATATCACTGATGTGTGATAAATAGCACTCAACATCAAACTCTGATGGTGCAAGTCCTTCCAAGGTCAAAAATCATGCTAAGAGCTTTAAGAAGGTGGAAAGTATATGCAAGTCTTCATTGTAAAATCTAACATGTGTATTTCAGCACAAGCACCAGCAGATCCTTGACTCAGATGACAACATGGATGTTGATGATCAGATTAGCGATCCTAGCTTGCAGTCAAAGGCTAAGGAACTGAAGCCTCCTGTTAAGGTCCAGTATATATATATATATTGACTGCTCAGATGGTTCAATTCAGTATGCAGACATCGATTTGGCAGATTCCAGTTGTTGCAGAATCAGTTCAACAGCCACACAATGGAACTGCTGATTCTTCAGAGATGAGACCTCTGACAAAACCCAGGTTGAATCAGTATTTTGATACATCAACATCCAGGTTGAATCAGTGCTTTGATACACCAAAATCCAGGTTGAATCAGTACTTCAATACTCATTGTCACAAAAAGTGATGTCACTGATATAATAATAATGTGGTCACAATCTCAACACGTCTTATTACACTGTAAGTACCCACCAGGTCATGTTTCTTTATACTGACTTGAAAGAATTTATTTTACTGATAGCTGACTGCAGACAAGATTCACAAATACATCTGGCCACCCATTTGCCACCCATCCAATTTCAAGTATATGCATGAACTTCTTCATCAACCCAAAATGCTTAAACCTGCAGAGTTTTGCAAATTGTCAAATGAAATTTATTAGGTATGCTTGGAGTATTCATGAGGGAGCTTTGTGGTGGTGGTGAGTAAAGCACTTGGATAGTGTGCTGACATAAGTTGAATGCAATGTGTTTTGAGACTCCCCACTGTGGCACCATTTGTTTACAAATGTTTTGTGCCAGGCATTGCACAGTGGTTGAGCAGATTAAAGTTGTTGGTGTTAGAGTGTCTTTCACAGCTGTTTGCAGTCGTGAATGTTAAATTTCATATTTGCTTCTGTTGCCCTTGGGGTTTTGTTGTCACGCTGATCTGAGGGATCTTGAGTGAACCGGCCTCCAACCTCACTCTAGCCTTTGCCCATGGCACCTCAAGTCTCTGATGAAATGCAGGCAAACATAATCATCTGGGATGAGGAGAAATCCCTTTCTTCTCGAGAAATCACTGACCTTGTGCATGACAAAAAAACCCTGAGGGTAACAGGTACAACAGAAGCTTAATGATTCACAACTGCAAACAGCTGTGAAAGACACTGTATGTCGGATCATTCTTATCAGTACATATTACTAATCTACCTAAATCACTTAGATAAAACATTGTGTCCACCCCTCAGATGACTCAACCACGGCGCAACGAATGGGTAGGAGGCTGCCGGTATCAATGTGCCTGAATTTCTAGCACTTTTTGCACTAGAAGATTGCCAGCGGGAAAATGCGTGCAATGCCGCTAATGCCTTGCATTCTGTATCTTCCCTGTACTTTACACTCCCCGGGATGTTCCATATGGACTCCATGGAAGGGGGGATGGATTCCACAAATATCAGATGGATTCCATGGAATGGGGGATGGAATACATACTTTCCCAGATGGAATCCATACTTCCCCCAGATGGAATCCATACTTTTTCAGATGGAATCCATACTTTCCCAGATGGAATCCATGCTTTTGGTGGGTGGATTCCATATGTCCTATACCATTTTTTAGAGTGGAATCCACATGGAATGACTTTATGGAATAATACAAGTCCACATCATGGAATTATGGTCTCTATATTTATTCCATGGTCATAGCTGAACAGAAAAAATTGAAGTGTATTGAATAGACTACATAAATTTATTCTTACTACTTTCAATAGTTAAGGGAGGGGGACAGCGTTCCAGCATGCAGTTGGTGCAAAGGTTTCATTGTATTCAATGCCTGGATGCTGGGAATACCCCTGCACGATGAGGCAAGCTTTGAAGTGGTCTATGGAACCATCAGCTAGTTTCTTAACCCTGAATACCCAGCGAGATCCTATAGCTTTGGCACCTGGTGGGAGGTAAACAACACGCCATGTACCATTGATTTCATGGGCATTCATTTCATCAGCCATAGCTTGGTACCATGCACTGGAATCGTCGCCGCTAACTGCCTCCTGGTAGGTGCGAGGGTTGGTGTCATGGATCCCAACTTTGAGTGTGTGATGGGCCTTCAGCTTATCCACAAGCATGGACCCATATCCACCAAACTCAGTGCCTGTTTCAACAAATGCACGACCTGCCATGAGCAGTGCTTCATCGGACGCGGTGTTCAAATCGAAGTCCACCTCCTGCTCTCCCTCCTCATCCATATCACCAACATGCACATCCCACAGTGGAGCTTCCTCCTCAGGCTCGTCTATGATTGTGGGTGGAGCTGTTCACTGTGGAGCAGCATCTTTCTTTGCCCTGTTATCAGCTGCACATTGCAATTCAGCTGCCTTCTGGCATAGAAGTGTATCCTCATAGATGTCATTGATGGAATATGGTTTGCAATTTCGTTGGGGTTGAGGTTCGCAAGGTAGAGGAAGAGGAGGAGGAACGATAGTTGGAGGAGTGATAGTTGGGATAGGTGGGTGATCAAGAGCTCCCACCGGTTCATGATTATCTGGTGGTGGGATAGGATCATTAAGGCTGACACTGGTGTTATCATCGTCCAAAGGCTCCTCATCAGATGTTTCTGGGAAATCAGTTGGACTAGGCATGAGGTTTGAGGTAAATGTTTCCTTTGTCACAAGACCAGGGAATTCAGATTCGTTGAAAATCACATCTTGGGATATGATGGTGGTTTTCTTAATGGGGTCATAGATGATCCAGCCAGTGTGGTTCTTGGGGTATCCAACAAAAATACCCTTGATTGTGTGTCTGCGAAGGCTCTTCCATTTGTCACGACCAATGAGCGCATAAGCGCGGCACCCAAAAACTCAAAGATGACTGATCTTGGGTTTGCGGCCTTTGAACTGCTCATAAGGTGTAGTGTCACTGGATAGGGCAGAAGTTGGACACCAGTTATGAACATGACAATAGACGCCAACAGCATAGTTCCAGAAACTTTGGGGAAGCCCAGCTTCATCCAGCATTGCAGTTACTCCCTCAGAAATTGTACAATTGGCACGTTCTGTGACGCCGTTCTGCTGGGGTGTAGTGCGAGTGGTGTATTCAATGCGGATCCCTTCTGTGGCGCAGAACTTGAGGAATTCACTAAGGGTGTATTCACCCCCTTCATTGCAGTGGAGAGACTTGATTTTACAACCAGTTTGTTTGTTTCTCAACAAGGGCTTTGAAAAGTTTGAATGCTTTGAATAGCCCGCTTTTCCTTCCCATGGTGTATATCTCAAGCCAACGTGTTTTGTTGTCAATGAATGTAGCCCAGTAGCAGTGGTGTTGGAGCTTTGTACTTCCATAGGCCCATGTAGATTGCTGAAAATGCGACCCAGAGTTTCATGGGAGTGTTCCACAGTCTTGGGGAATGGTAGGCGGTGCTGTTTCCCACTGATACATGCTTCGCAGAACTCATTGATAGGCTCTGGTGACGATAAGACTAAATCAGATGTCAAGTCCTGACGGATGAGTTGCTCAATGTGGTCTTTCCCCAAATGACACATGCGCCTGTGAATAAGGGCACGATCAACACCTCGGGATGTAGCTGTAGCTAATGCACTTATTGGCGAGGATGTGATGATGTAGCCATCTAGGAATGCAGTGGTCAAAGTGTCGACTGTAGCTGTGAAGGCTAGTTCGTTGCCAACTGAAAACTTCACTTTACAACCAGAGATGTCAATGTTGAAGAGGTGCCGTGTTGTTAATGTGAGGATAGATAATAGATTGTTTGATAGTGATGGAACATGGAGTACATCGGTAAACAACACCTGGCACCGCTTCCCTGCTGGCTGGAAAAGCACTGAACCCTTTCCAACAGAATAAATCATGTTTTTATTGGCGAGGTGAATTGGGATTTTCCAAGGTCTGTAGTCTGATGTAAACCAATGTCGATGTGGTGTCATACTCGCCGAGGCCCCAGTGTCTGCATTCCAAAGTATGTCAGTTGATTTGGACGGCAAGTCGGTGGGGAGACAAACGGCGGCGTCTTCTTTGACAACAGGGCCATCACATCCTACTTCAACTGAAGCAGCAGCTGTGACAGCGGCCTTTCCACGTCCATGTCCTCTTCCACGTCCTCCATGGTGACTGCCAGATTTGTTCTTAACGCCGGCGCGGGCATCCAGAAGGGAAGGACAATCCTTGACACCATGACCAATGGTTTCACACAGGTAACAGACAACTTGGGAGGCGTTGGCAGCAGCTGCTGCTACTGCCTCAGCTTCAGCAGTCTTGAGGCTTTGGCGTTGGGTTTCTTCAGTCCGAAATGCCTGGAGAACGGATTCCTTTGAGAGGTTGGATAAGAGGAGCATGGATGATATGAATGAGCCATAGTCCTTGTGAGAGATCATTGCCATGATCGCTAACTCCTCATCCAGGGTCTGAATGGTGTATCCAGAGATGGGGCAGAGAACCTTGACATTCTGCATGGCAGTGTCCACACGCCCAGTAAGGTCTGTGAGGGACTTGCTCTCCTTGAGGTGAATTGCGAACAACTCCGTGAGGGAATTGAAGTGGGAGTTTGGTGCAGAGCGACTGTGAATTGACCTGAGGGTGTCCCACATGCACCTCGGCTCAGTTTGATGGCTGTCGATGTGGGCCTTGTTGGCGCTATTGAGCCACTGGTAGATTTCACTGGCAGCCTTGTAGACGCAAGTCATGTACGCTGAATGCAGAGCGATGACAGTGGCATCAGCGCCAGGTAGGGGTTCCTCAGGGACATACTCGGTGCCTAGAACAATTCCGATGATGTTTAGGGACATTAGGCATCTGAAAATACACTTCTCCCACTCAATGTACTTCGCGTCTCCTAATTTCGACATCAGCGATCAAGAGTGGTCAGTTGACATGGTGTGCAAGTTGGAATCTGATGAGATCGGATAAGGGAAGGGGATTCCTGGGAAGTCTGGCTGCTACAACTTGTGGAGCTGGACAGGTGGGTTTGCTGCGACGATAAACAGAGCGGATGAGGGGATCTTCGGTGATGCGTCTAGGGCATGGGGGCCCATAACCTGTTGAACAGGTTACAGTGGCAGCAGTGACACGAAACTGAAGGTCTCGGATTGGAGGCTAAAGGCAACCTGAGTTTCAATGGACAACTTGGACTGTGTCCGTAGTTGAGTGAGTAGTTGTAAACTAGGTAGCCATAGTCTACACACCTGTGTCTGTAGTTGAGTGAGTAGTTGTAAACTAAAGACTAAACTACAGGGGCCAGGAATTGAAAGGGCGGGATAAGCCCTAACCCTAAGTGGTCTCAAGTGCACGCACAGAATATTCAACAACTTCGTCAAGGCTTGCCCACTTTCTCTTGACACTGCTATTCAGGTTTCCTGCTCACATCACACTTCCTCATCCCAGACCAGTCCACCACCCCTTCTTGTCAATGCTGAAGCTCAAGCTCAGCCTATGGATTTGACTCCTGCTGCTACCACTACTTCTACCCTGGATTCCCCAGCTTTCGATTGGTCTGAGGATGCCGCTGCCATACCCATTACTCCCATATTCCCTAAAAATCAACCTTACCGCGACCTTTCAGCTGTCCGCACCTCCAAAGCCAACCCCTTCAGCTCATTAGCACATCGGAATCGCTGTTCTCAATTGCCTTTGGGAAATTGTGACATTTCTGGGCCCCAGCCACCATTTCGGCCATGTCAAGCCCCACCATTCTCTCTGGGCTCACAAACTACTCCTCTTCAATGCTTCATTCCACTCTTCAACCCCACCACACTGCCATTACCATCAACCCCATTGAAGATTCCTAGTGCTCTTGATTGGGAATCCAATCCATGTCTCTTGGATTTGAGTCGAGCATTGAAGGCACTTGGTTGGATTCATCAGTGATCTTTCTTCAAGTTTACATTCCTACTGTGTCCATCACATCTTTTTCTTTCATTGCTTTGCTTAACTTTGGATTTCTACTCTACATTTTTCTTAGTCCTCTTAGATTTCTTCTTTTTTTCAGCAGCTGGCAACTGGGATGTCGCCTTATGGGAAGGGGGCAGATGGAATAGGGATTCCCTGCTCCAGAGCGCGGTCACGTGCACGTAGATACACACATCACATGTGGTACATACTCACCGCAATACCACCATCTACCCAGCTAGCTACACTAACTGGGAAAAAAGAATGTCTGGTCATTTTTTGGACAAAGTTGGTGCTGTAACACAAGAACCAAACATTTTCAGAACTAAGCTCTGGTGTATGAGACATAGCTAAGGAGGTGTAGATGGTACATACCAAGTCTGGGGATGAATGAATGAAAACTCAGGATAAGGCAGAGCATTCACTGTGACAACTTCCAAAAATGGGATTTGACAAAATAGGAAATTCTGAATGACTGCAACCTACTGGAAGCAATTCACAATTTGAAGCAGAAATATTTTAAACACTCAATCTCCCTGCTATTGTCATAAGCCCCATAAAGTCTCTGAGATATAAAATTCTATAGTCTCCCCAAAAAAGTGAATTTGAATTGATTCCCCTCCTTGGACATTTGCAGTTGCAAATATTGCCCAGGATTGATAGGAGAAGGTATCTATTGTCATAGTATTGTACATATACATAACTATTACTATTCCATGATCTGATTTGACCACATTGCCAGGAATAAAGCATTTAATGGCTAATAAAACTTCAAGAAACTGTGAAAATTAAGAGATATATAGTCAATATGGTTCCCAGAAACCCTGCTTCCAAGGGGTTACAGTTAATATGGGTGTTTTGAAATGTCCATGCCAAGTGCTTCTACCTATCTCTTGAGTTTTGGGCACAGATGCTTCTCAAATGGCCCACAAAGCTCACTGAAGCATGACAGAGAGATTTCCAAATCAGGCCTAGAAAGGTCTGGGGGTCTCAGATCCTTGTATGAACAGGACCTCTGTTTATTTCCTTGGGATAGTGTTCCTAGGTATGAGATGTGCCTTGTGAAATATTTTCAGCCCCAATTCACCAAGAAAAATGTCAAGGATTGGTCCAGGACGATTGCTCTATGCAAAATGTACTTTTCTTGGGGACTATTCAAGTTATACCCAGTGTAAATTTATTTGCTATCATATTATACTTCAGGTGTTGTTTAAAGGACATCCTGAGTCTCCATGGATTAACTCAAAAGGGTGGTAGCATTTTTTCTTCTTGCAGAAAGAAGGACTGATGTTGTAGATACTTGTTTACTTTCAGAAAAACTCTGGAAATTAACTTCTACAGACATCATGCAATGGTCATTTTAACATTTCTACCTACCTTTTGTATTATACACACTACAAACATTAATAGGGAGTCATTTTTCCTCATTCCAACAAATATATTGAGTGAAAAATACATAAAGTGGAGAACAAGTTCAAATTTACCTTTTAGGGGAGGATATAAATTTTCTAGCCCAAAGACTTTATGAAGCTCATAACAATAGCAGGGAGATCCAGTGTTCAAAATATCTCTTCCTCAAGTTGTGAATTGCTTTCAGTAGGTTGCAGTCATTCAGAATTTCCTATTTTGTCAAATCCCATTTTTGGAAGTTGTCACAGTGAATGCTCTGCCTTATCCTGAGTTTTCATTCATTCATCCCCAGACTTGGTATGTACAATCTACACCTCCTTAGCTATGTCTCATACACCAGAGCTTAGTTCTGAAAATGTTTGGTTCTTGTGTTACAGCACCAACTTTGTCCAAAAAAATGACCAGACATTCTTTTTTCCCAGTTAGTGTATATGCTGGGGAAGCACCTCTGCCCATTCCACCATACTTAAAGAGTGAACTTTGCGTCCATGTCAACATCAAGAATGAGCAACCAAATTTTTATTGCGCAATGATAGCAATGTACTATACAACCTATAATATGAATGACTGGGTAGGTATACAACAAGGCAGGATCTAAACAGCAGTCATTATCATGGGTGTGCATGTCGTGGTCATAATCAGAGGTGTTTTAGATACTGCAGCCGTCTGCGCGTGACCCTGCTGAAGTGTTGGTGGTACATGTCAGTGGTGGTGCTGCTGGCTGCCACTGCGGAGGCTGATGGAATAACCAACGAAGAGGCACACTTTGCGGGAACCTATAACGAGGTAGCGAGGGATTCGGGTTACTCGTTCTTAACGACGTACACGACTGGTGAGCTAAAGGAAGTGTTTGGTTCACGTTTTGGTGTGATGACCTTGCGAATAGACCTAAAAGGAAGGTCTAGAAGGATCACGCTAAGCGAGTGGCTACTTGCGCTCTGGAATGCCACGAGCGTAGCTGAACTCTCCTCTCTCGGAAAGCCGCAGGGAGGTATAGTGAGATCCTACTAGCAAGTAGGATGGAAGGATACGATAAGCGCGTATTGAGGAGAATCACGAGTTCTCCTAACGAAGTCACAATCAGCTACTCACCTTGTTACTCAATTCCTTCACTAAGCTTGAAGAAGAGTCATGAAAACGATACTCTGAATGCAAGCGTGCACGAAAATGAAGAAAGTAGTAAGATGAAGAAGTAACAAGCGTGACTAGAGGTATTGTACTACGTGTGACTGCGTGACGAGTGAGTAAGGAACCGTTTCCATTGCACAGGGAATATTCTACTATGAGATACCATACTGTCTCCTCACAAAGCCCCCCTATTCCCTGTTTAACGGGGGCGGTACTCCTCCGGTAAGCTGATATCTGTAACGCGATGTTTGTGCCAGTCAATAGGAAATCCATCTGTAAGTCTCGCATGGAGGCGACGCAATGATTCTGGAACTGTTTGATTCAATTTCTCTTTCGGTCCACGGAAGCTGCGGTTACGACGACGGAAATAATCCTTCCACATCCCTGAAGTCTTGAACTTAGCCGTGCCTTGTAGTATGTCCTTTGTCAAGTCAGAAAACATATCGTCCATCTTGGAATCCCATTCTCCTGTCCAGAAGTAACAGCCTTCGTCCAGGATGTCTTTGGAAGGATACAACGATTTGTCCTTGTCACCGTCGCTGCGAATACATCCGAAAAGAACATCAATTTCTTGAGGCATCATTTCGTCCGTGTAAAGAAACATAGGGTGCTCATCCTCGGAGTCGATGTTACCTCGACGATGAAGATACACATCTGGCAAGGGTCCGTCCATGAATTGCGCAACCAGCTCTGCACCACCCCATTTGCGACCTAACCAGGCTTCGGGACCACCCATCCCTATCAACACGCGCGCGTGTGGTCGACGGATGATGTCGTTGATGCAGCTCATGTAGTAGGCCTTAAGGGCGCCTTGGGCTGTGTACGCGAAGGGAGGTTCCAGGGCGGATGACGGTTTGCCTACAAGACGGTCAGTGTCCGAAACTTCCTCTGGCTTGAATCTGCCGAAGTCTTCCACCTTGACGCCTATCTTGAAAGGTAACCCCCATCGAACGGCTTTGTACAACAGCGCGGGTAGAGTAGAGCAATCAGGGGAGCATGCGGCCCAGTATCGCAGACAGGCTTGCACGCTTTCGCTTCCTATCAAGAGATAGCCCACCTCCAGGAAGTCTGGATTCCAAGACAGCGTCTTCTTGCTGGTCCAAGGGGGATTCATAATGTCGAACGTTTGTCCCATTCTTCGTAGCTCGTCCACAAAGCGAGCGCGTTGTGGGGGAAGGGAAATGGCCGAACGTGATGAGGAACTGGTAGGGGAAGCTGAACGTCTGCGTGCCAGGAGACCTCTCCCTCGTCGCTCAAGAGATCGTTGTGCGCTGTTAGATGAGTCCCTGGAAATCACTCCGCCAATGGTCGTGTTCACCATGGAACGAATCCATTGAGAATCTTGAGAAAGTGGCGAGCAGGGCCTAGGGATGGAGAGTTGGGGATAGGTAGCCGGTGCCCAGTGAGGTCGAGGCAAGAGGTCTGGGGATCCGTCTACAAACGAAACTGTGTCCCCTTTGTGAATTGTCATGGGGGTGTCGTCCAAACGGTCCAGCAGCGGCATTCGACCCAACTCATCAAAATGTTTCCCTGGAGAAGGTCCGTACACACCTTTGAAGATCTCACGAATCTCGCGATCACTGCGCCGAGCTTCTCTTGTTGCGCCCGAGCCCTCCTGGCCAGCGTCCTGATCGCAGCCGGTGGTTGTGACTCGAGGGCGCCATCTCCAGATGGTAACTGCCTCGTCTGGTGACCCTTCGTCAATGGTAAAGTGGTAACGTTCCACGTAGTCCCTAATGATGTCGTCATCTACTAATAGTCTGCCTCTCCAGCCTTCGAAGTCACACATATAAACCCTCGCCATAGCAGGGATGTCGGCAAAACCGGGGGAGGACATGGAGGTTGGATCCTCCCGTAGCTGGAAGAAATCGTCGTATTTCTTCATTTCGTCAATTTCATCCTGAGATCCCAACATCTCCGCTCCGAATACTTCAGCTTTGTCCAGCGCCTTGCAAGTGTCGTGATAGGCTTGCAGGATAGCTGGGGACAAGCGAAGAAAGCGAGAGTGGACGGACATGTTCTTCATCCAGAAGTAGTACAAAGGCACATTCTCTGCCAATAGATGCCCCACATTCAAGGTTCTGTAATGTTGGAGTACGTCAATCATGACTCCACGCTTCTGCAGGCTACGCAGACCAAAAGAGTTGATAAAATCGACCATCCATCCCTCCAAAGGGGCACCCCAACTCGTCACTGACGAAGACCACCAATTTAAAAACCCTAAGTAGTCCTTCACCCTGGCTTTGGCATCCTCCACCACTGTATTGGCAGATTGCGCGGAATCCCAGCCTGAGGAAAGGCGGAGGTAGTTGAATTTCATGGGATGCTCGGTTCCTACGACGAATGGTGGGTTGGACACGATGGCGTCGATGCACAGCCAGAGTTTTGTAAGGCATTCTTCCGCCTGGCTGCGTAAAGCCATGTTGAAGTAGAATCTGCCATCGCCGCCGACGCTCGGGGCACTGCCGTCGCTGAAGTACCAAGGGATGTTGTTGTTTTCATCCGCGAAATAGTTTACGACCGTCCACGCGTCCCAATGGTAGCAGTCCGTGTACCACATAGGACGGTTTGTCCAAGTCCAGCCTGGGGGGCGAGCAGCCTCTTCCAGAGACTGAAATGCACGATCCTCCAGGGCTTGCTGGAATACTTCAGTAGAGGGGATTTTCCCTGCGGACGCGTTAAGGGCAATCCACTCGCCTGCACTCAAATACTCCTGGACAGAGGTAGGTACAACGCTGTCGCCATCAATGTATAAGCAGTCCATCGGTTGGAGATCCGTTGACAGTGTTGGTCGTGTAGAATCGAAGTTAGCGATGGTGAGGTAGAGGGGAATGAAATGAAAAGAAAGAAAGAAAGGTGAAGGAGAAAGATCAAAGAACAAAAGAAAGGAAGCATGTGTCGTCCGAACTCGGATATCTCCGTGATCCGAACGATATAATTTATCTCCGAATCGATCTTATCCACTCCTTGGAGTTTCGTCGTCGGCCTTACGCTTCTGCCATAACGAAACTACCTCCGGAGCATTCCTCAGGGACCTCTTAGGTTCCCAGGTGTCGTACAGTGGGCTGTAGCCTTCCCATCTGATTAAGTATTCCAATCCTTTTTTTGTACGCCTCTCTGCAATTATTTTTTCCACTTCATATTCTTCCTCTGCGAGTCTGCATGTTCTAGTCTCCGGTAAAGTCGCTCTCTCCCCATACTCTTGTGACGGCTCAACGTATTTCTTCAAGTGTTGATAGTTGAACACCGGTAGGCCGGGATAAAGGTTACTCATCCGCAAACGATAGACATTGGGATTCACACGCTGAATGACTTCAAAAGGTCCAATCCATCTTTGCGTCAATTTCTTGCCTTCGCCTTTAGATTCCACCCATTCCAGCGTGTGTGGATTGACTAGCACTCGATCCCCTTGTTTTAGGTCGGGAATTGGTTTTCTTCCTTTATTATAGGATCTAACTTGTTGATTCTGCGCTTTAGCTATCGCTTGGCGCACGCTATCTCTGTGCATCGCTAAGGTGTCCAAAAAGGTGATGGCTTCAGGAGTCAAGTTCCTACTCGCGACGTCATCAGCTCTCCTTGTTCCGACGAAGTCCAATGGCGTCCTTGGGTGAAAACTGAGTAATAGATGGAATGGTGCAGTGCCAATAGAAGAATGAACAGTGCTATTATAGGCGAATTCCAGCAGGTGGAGCCACGACGCCCACTGATCTTTCTGCCCTGCAATGAAAGCTCGTATCATCGTGGTAAGCAACTTGTTTACCACCTCTGTCTGTCCATCATGTTGGGGGTGGTGGGAGGACGATAAGCTCATCTTCGTTTGCAAAGCTTTGGCTATGCCCCTCCAAAAATCAGTAGTCCATCGTGGATCCTGGTCGGTAATAATGCTTTCGGGCAACCCGAATTTGCATGCGATGTGCTTCACGAATAAAAGAGCGAATCCCTCTGTATCCAGGCCTGTCGTCACTGGAATGAACGACGCATGCTTCGTGAGTCTGTCTACCACCACGAATATAGCGTTAAACCCTTCTGACCATGGCAGACTCACAATGAAGTCCATGGAAATTGACTGATATGGCCGTGATGGAATTGGGTTAGGTATCAAGAGACCAAACTTGTTGAAATTCGAATATTTCGTCTTCTGGCAGACGTCGCAAGAACTGCAGTATCGCGCAATGTCGATCTTCATCCTTTTCCAGTAAAACCTGGAGCTCAGAGACTGCCATAGTCTTTCCGGTCCCGCGTGGGCTGAATGGAAAGGATTTTCGTGAGCCTCCTTCAAAATGAAGTTTCTCTGACTGATAGGCACGCAGAGACGTGGCTGATAATTCTCGTTGTTGAAGAATATCATTCCATCTTGTCAACGAAGAAGCGTCTTCCTGGCGTCACAATGTCCTCGCTATACGTAGCGTCTCTTGCAATAGCTTTGAACATGGGGTCCTCTTCGTAGGATTTTCTCCATTCCGCTTTAGCGACATCACTCATGGTCAGATGAACTGTAGGGGGCGGATTCAATGCTCCCCAGTACTCATTTGAAGTCTCCAACATGTCTAACTCATTCGTTTCAGGGACGGGCGATGGTTCGTCTTCCACCTCCAACCATTTGTTCCTGGATCTGACATTAATCATTGCTTCTTTTG